GTAATCTATTATCTCCAAAATTATCATTGACAATTCAAAAATACAAAATCTTGATGTCGCAAGTATTTATACTATACTATATACTATACAATTTATTTTATAACTAAGTTTATCAAATATTAGTGATAGAATACGAGTATTTACGGGTCGGATAGCAAATCGAGTACGAAGATGGATAAGGAGACGGGTAGTGAAAAAAAAATACCCTTTACCCGACCATTACCCGCGGGTAACAAAATTATAGTACCATTTACCCGACTCGAACGTTATGAGTACCCTATTTTTCTAGATGGGTACGAGTCGAGTAACATGTAAAGGACGAATAATGGGTATCTATGTCCAGCCCTAATTAATTGCCATTCCGGAACCGGGTTCACAACAGGCTTATAATGGCTCTAATTTTAGAAGATGGAAAAAGCCTCTCAGTTGTCGTTAAAGTCTTTGATTTCTTAATCTTCAGAGAGAGAGAGATTAGGTACGCAATTAGCCATGGGAGATACTCAATGGGACGATTCTTTGGCGGGTTCCATGGTGTGCGATGCTGATTCAAGACTAGTGCCCCATGATTTCGTAAAGACTAATCACACAGGTTGGAGTAGGATCCTCTCGCTCTTTTGTTTTCGTGAGTCGCGAGGCTCGATTTTGTTTTTTTCTATATGAAATCCCTAGGGTTTGGAATTGGGGGTTTTTCTTTCTTAGTTTTTATAGGTTTGAGCATTTCACATCAATCGTTCAATTTCAGTTTTTGGGTCTTGATTCTTAACCGAAGGATTTGTTTTCTATATGAATAGGGTTTGGAATTGGGGGTTTTTATAGGTTTGAGCATCTCACATGAATCGCTCAATTTCAGTTTTTGGGTCTTGATTCTTTCACCGAAGGGTTTGTTTGTTCTTGAGTTTCCTAAGAAAATCTGACATTTGATTAATGCTAATGCACTCTTTTTCTTTTAGATGAGATCATCGTGTTCATCAACTGTGGAAAATATGGACTGGTAGATAACAGTTTGAATCTGGTCAGTGACATGGGTTTCGATGGAGGGAACACAATAGGTACAGAAGAGATAAGCTTATAGTTGAAGTAAGAGACCATCCATTCATTTACAAGACAGCACGTACACGAAACTGAACAAGCTTCTTCCTGGAGAATACTTGATGGATTTACATTTCAGAGAGATTTCTGTAGCTGATGGACCAGAGAAACAGAGATTGCTGAATGCTGAAACTTGTGTGTTGTGTGTTTTTGTTGTTGTATCCTCAGGTCTTAAGTGAATTTGATATCTTCCATGTGGTTGGCGCAAAAAGGTAACTCATGTTGGTTGGCGTATCAGTCCATGTAAAGGATGATGGACTGATTACAGTAAGGTTCGCAGGATGGCGTCCACTGGTTTGTGGTGTATGTGTGACAAAGCCAAAAATAGTTTCAGATATTGGCTCCTTGTGCTTTTCTTCTTGATTATTTGTTTCGTTGCGCTCATTCTTCTAATGTTGTAGGGATGACACAAGAAGAGAACATCATATCAGAATTTAATGGAATGGTTGCACATGTTCTTAGAAAACAAGAAGAGACTGGTTTTCGATATGCATTGGAGTACATAAGCATTTTAGCTGCCATTAAGCTTCTTCCGCTGTCAACCAAAACTATAAAAAATTCTGATTCACTTAGGAGACTTGAACCACTTCGCAACAGCAGGAACAACATGCTGCGTAATGAGATAGAAGTTCTACTAATCTATCTACATGCGAGCAATTATCCTTGAAGAAATCTCTATACCAGATTCCAGAAGCAGTGAACCTAAGAAGTTGTTTGACATGTTGAGGCAGCTTTGCGGGAAGAGAGTTTCGCGAGAAATCTCTTCTAGCCAGTGGATAAGGATGTACTTGGTGATAAGAAAACTTATAGTCATACCAGAGTTAGCAGATTCTGATCTCTCGTTTGGAAGGACAATGGGAGTAACGTTGGATTTTGTGTGTGAGGAAGGCATCAAAGAAGTTCGTGGGCATGCACAAATTCTTTGTGAAAAGATGACTTTAGACCAGGAGAGGAAAATAATAGGACGTTGTGTCGAGGCTCTCAAGTCATACTCGGACAGTTTGAAAAGGCGTATGTTCGTGGGTTTCTATGATAAGAAAAGCGTGAGTGATTCGTTAAGGTTGATACTTTCTTTGCCAAGCAACTATGTCCGTGATGCGTTGATCAATGCCAAATCCATACACGACCTCAAGATGATCGCGAAAACTGCAAACTATGAGATACACGAGATGGCGATGAAGCTAAATGGAGGAGATGCAATGATACAATGCTTAGGAAATTGTCTGCAGCTTGTCCAAATAGCTCTTGGACTTGCTTAAGCTCCTTCTCCGTCAACAAACAATGTTACACCACTTAGGACTAGAAGGAGTTTAAGCAAGTCCAAGAACGAAGAAATGAAGTTGATTTTGAGTGCAATCGAGACAATAGTAACTCAACAAATGAATCTTCAACTCACTAGGTGATAAGTTCCTTCCAAGGATAGGCACTCTAGAGTCAGTA